TCATTGATGTTTCTATCTCTCTCTCTCCCTCTTCTTCCCTCTCTCTGAAATCAATAAAGATATATTTAAAAAAAAAAAAAAAAAAGATGGATGCAGAAGCAACCTCACCTGGTTGTATATTAATAATCCAGTGCACTCAATCAGCAGAGATATTAAACGAAGTGGCAAGGAAAGCAGTACCTGGAGTGCCGGTTTTAAAGGTTGTATGGAGGGGAACGATCAGAATTAGTCAGCTGTCCTAAGCCAGACAGAGACCTCCATGTTTATGTAGGATCACTGCAATTTGTAGACAAAAGGCATTTTTCATTTGTCCACATGGTTGGTTCCTGCAGGTTCCATGAGAATTTGCATTTCTAACAAGTTCCCAGGTGATCCTGATGTTGCTGGTCCAAGGACCATACTTTGAGACCTGCTGGTTCAGTGGTTATGGACTGAATTACTTCCCCCCAAAATTCATATGTTCAAACCCTAACCCACAGAGTAACTTTATTTAGAGATAGGGTCTTTTAAAGTCAAATGAAGTTAGAAGGGTGGGGCTCTAATCCAATATGACTGGTGTCACTGTATGGTGGGGACGAGACACCAGAGATGCACATGTACAGTGAAAAGGCCATGTGAAGACACAGTGAGAAGGTGGTCATCTGCAAGCCAAGGAGAGAGGCCTCAAGAGAAACCAATCTTGCTGACACCTTGATCTTGGACTTCCACCCTCCAAAACTGTGAGGAAATAAATTTCTGTCATTTAAGCCCCACGGTCCGTGATGTTTCGTTAAGGCAGCTCAAGCTGACTAAGACATCAGCTTTAACCATGTTGCCTGCCATTGTGTTCTACTTGCCAGGATGCCATCAAGCTAAGGCCTGAAGGGTGAGAAAGGAGCAGCCAAATGAGAGCCCCGAGAAGGGTGCTCCCAGCAGAGGGGCCTGCACTCCCTGAAGTACCCCAGCAAGGAAAGCGAGGCCAGCTCCAGGACCAGGGAGAAGACATGGAGGGCCAAGCACAGGCCTGGGCCTGCAACTCCAAGGAGGGCAGGTTGTGACCAGATATACCCAAACTGAGAATGGACCGTAACTATCAACTTTGGAATTTGAGTCTCTGGACTTCCATGTCAATAGGCAAAAAAAGGTATCTTAAGTTTTCTTTTATTAATATTCAAATTAGTGTGCATTCTCTGAAGGCCCATATGACTGATATAACGCTGAATGCAGAACTAAAGTTCATAGTGGAGAAAGACATTTAAATCTGCTGTATTCATTTATATGTGCAGACAAATTTTAGTCTGGTGTTATAAAAGCTATAAAATAAAATTAAGCAATAAACCCATACATACCTAAGCTTGATAAGGACACAACTTACTGGGTCTAACTTACCTGGACAAATACGATGGCTTGTTGTGGATAATAAAGAGAGGCAGCTAATCCCATGAAACCAGGTGGGTACACCAGCTTCTTTATTTTTGAACCTATTAATAAAAGGTTGTGGACACTGTTAAATGATTCCATCTTTACCATCACAATTTGCCTAACACTGAGTAAAACTTCTTCGGTCCTAGACTGACAGAGTGTGCCCAACAATATCAAACATATCAAAAAGGACCACTACATTTTCATACCTTCAGTGAGATAGAATTCATACAATTCACCTGTTCAAAGTGTTTTAAAGTGTATAATTCAGTGGCGTTAGGATATTCATAGAGGTGTGCAACCATCACCACAAGCAATTTGAGAAAATTTTCATCAACCCCAAAAGAAACCCCACATCCATCAGCAGTCACCCCCAATTCCTCTTGCCCCCAGCCCTAGGGAACCACTCATCTACTTTCTCTCTCTAATGATTTACCTACTCAGACATTTCATATAAATGGAATCATATAATATATGTTCTTTGCGACTGGCTTCTTTCATCAGCGCAATGTTTAAGAGAGCCACCATTTTCAAGGAAGCAGGAAAAAAGAATGTTTTGCAAAGAAAAAACACATTATTTTGGCTTCTAAGGTTTATGTTCTTTTATAGTAAACTGGCTTCCTATTTACCTACTGAACACAAGTATTCCTCTCTTCTTCTTTCTAATACTCCATGATAATAACAGTGTAAGAATAAGATACAGACAAGCCCACAGCAAAGTGAAAATGTGTGGGGGGCACTGACAGGTAAGTATCAACCAATTTTCAGAAAATGGCGAGTGGATGGAAGCAAGAGGACACACAGCCTTTAAGTCCTGAGGAGGGAGGGGCTGCAGTGGAGGAGGGAACAGGATGTCCCAGCAGCCCAGAGATGGCAGGTACTAGGAAGGGTGCAGAGGGCAACCAGCGATCAAGACAGGGGTATAAATGCAAGTTCTGTGCATGGGCCAGCTGACTTTCTCCTTCCCCCACGCCAGTCCAGGGCAAAACTGCCTGTGGCCAGGCGGCTCTCCAGGCAAAAATTTAAAAACTGGATGGAGTATCTCTAAAGAAGCGCCATGGATTTCTGTTGAGAACTAAGATCACTGGTGTGTGTGTACTGCATGTAAATGCCTGAGACTACTCTCAGGCACTGAGACTCGGGCACTGAGGGTAGGCACCTCCCATATTAAGGTCAGTTTCCATTCAGCTCACCCAGACGTAGAACCTGCCTGCCAGCAAGCCCCATCTATGCTCCAAAAGTTCCTATTGTCATTTCAATTGCTTTGTTCTTAAACATGACTGTACAACCAAGGATCACTAGTCATTTGAGGAAAGCCTATAAATATAAAAGAGAAGATCGAGCCCTAGCCAGTTTTGCTCAGTGGTTAGAGCATCAGCCCTCAGACTGATGGTTCCCAGGTTTGATTCCGGCTAAGGGCATGTACCTTGGTTGCAGGCTTGACCCCCGGCCCCAGATGGGGCACATGCGGGAGGCAACCAATTGATGTGTCTTTGTAACATCGATGTTTCTCTCTCTCTTTCTCTTCCCCTGCCCCCCTCTCTCCCCCTCTCTCTCTGAAAAGCAACATAAAAAATATCCTCAGGTAAAGATTTTAAAAAAAGAGAGAGAGAGAAGATCAAGATAAGCAAGAAGGAAAAAAATGACCCTATAGGAAACAAAAGTTAAAAACAAAACTAAACCTATAATTATGTAATTAAGTATCATCGAATAAATTCAAGAAGCTACTACATTTAAAAAAAGAGTTCTAAGAAAAAGGAACAATCAGAGAACAAAAATGAGGTCTTGGAAATGACCAAGTAAAAAAATTAAAAAGAATAAAATAAAATAATCAAGAAAATATGAGACATATAGGGTCAGTTTAAACAGCTCAATTGCTAATTCATACGAGTTCAGGAAGGAAAAAGATGAGAGTAAATTTCCAAAGAAATACAAGATAGATCTCTTCCTCCAGCTGAAGACTGCAAGCCACCAAAATGCTCAACCAGGAATGAAACTATATGTAATCACAGCGCCATGGAAATTCAGAGCACTGCAGATTAAGAGATCTTCAAAGCTTCCAGGAAAAAAATGAATCACTTCCAAAGGAGCAAGCTTCCATGCTGGTTGCTGACTCACATCTGCAATTCCTGATGCTAGAAGAAGTGGCCTTCAAAGTTGTGATGGAAAACAAACTCTAGGCCCAACAGAACTATTACTTGGTATGAGGGCAAAAAGTAATTTTCAGACCTGCAAGGACCTGGAAAGTTTACCTCCAACATAGGCTTTTTTGAAAGTGACTTAAGCATGTAGTTCAACAGCATGGCAGAGCAAACCAAGGAAATGATGACATGGAACGAGAAAAGAGGGTCACACCCAAGAGAGCATGGAGCCCTGTCCCAAGACAACAGCTGTGCTGAGTATCAGTCCAGACTGAGAGGATATGCTGCCTCGGGAAAAGGGGAATTGAACAGGACGGAGAGCTGGGAGAAACCTGAGAATGAGGTTAAGAAAACAGGTAGTAGGTAAAACAGGAAAATACACTTGAAATGAACTTGATGTGAGAAACAGTTTCCACTGAGAGGCACAGGTTTTTATAATGGGATGCATATACAGCATGTCCCAAAAATGTATATACACTTTAACAGCTGATAGCTCAGTTTTGAAAATGAAATGTATTTTAATAAACACTGCCTTTATAATTATTCAAAGTGTATATATACATTTTTGGGACACCCTATAGATGCTAGTGCAATGTATGTTATTAACGCTTACACAGAATAATGTGTAAGTGCTGTTTATTGGTTTTTAACTTTAAACAGGCAAATCCCCAAAGATGGAATGGGGGTTGCAGAAAAGAATACAAATATTATCAATCTAGACTCTTAATAAATTAATGTTTCTCTCCCTGTCCTATTGCCTTGATTGAAAGGATATAATTACTCCCGAAGAGAAAAGCCTGCCACACCCCTGGGATCCCACCTGTACACGAAGCTTTCAGCACCTGGGCGGCTCACACAGCTGAGGACCAAGTGAAGGGCAGCAAGCCTGCCAGCCTGCCATTTCTCACTCCTCCAGAGAAAGCCGATACGCAGCAGCTCTCGGGCCTCCGGCTCCTACTGGTTCACACAATGAGCAGGGACCCCAGAATTTCAGGAAGGAAATGCAACCTCCTGCCTCCGTCATCTCCATGCCCACACCTCCCAAGAAGCCAGTGGTCTGAGCTGTAACTATCAGCATTGCCAGAGGGGAACCACTGGCTGCCAGGGCTGGGGGGAGTCACCAGAGGGCCACAAGAGCAAGCAACAACCACCTGCCAGACCTTGAGAGGCCTGGCCGGGCCCAGTTCTTCTGAATGATCATGCACTCCCCTCTCTTGTCACCACCACAGCCATGGCCATCCTCATCAACTAAGGCAGACTATCTTAGCAAATATGCTCAAGAAACCCTATCATATGGTCCAGCAAACCTTCTTTTGGGTATATACCCAAAGGAAATGAAATCAGTATCTCGAAGAGTTATCTGTACTCCCAAGTTCATTGCAGCACTATTCACAATGGCCAATACATGGGAACAACCTAAGTGTCTGACAATGGATGAATGGATAAAGAAACAGAAAATAAGACTAGAGAGCTCATGTATAGCAGGGTACCTATAGTTAATAATATTGAATCCTGGATATTTACTAAGAGAAAAGATTTCAAGTCCTCTCATCACACACACAAAACTGTAATTATGGGAGAAGATATGTTAATTAGTAGCCAAGATTCCAATACCCTGGCCTTGGGATCTTCATAAATTCTGAACACTATCTAAATAAGACAGGAATGCTTTTCTGGAC